GTCATCTTAATTGAAACACGTCTCTCGTGTTCTCCAGGCCTGAAAACAATCATTGATCAATTACTTCTCTTTAAAAATTTTTTTTATTTTATCTTTCTCGGTAAAATATTAAGTAACATATGGTAGACTATGAATAAAAGCTTTGTCGAGATTTCGGATACATTTATAAATTCATTTTTGGTTAGTAAAATTTTTTATTACGTCAATTTCGATATTTTTATTCACATGGGAAGTAATGAAATAAATTTAGTCGACCATGACCTGCGCTGTCCGACGGTTTCTCCGATATCTCATGAGTCGATAAAGTACGACCCGGTTATCTAGACCGCGAAAGAGACAACCTAGGTTTAATTCCAATCTATATAACATACAGACAGACCTATTGCGTGCAATCTCACTTTATATATAATTGTCGTAGTCAACATCAAACAGTACAATTGCATTTCTCAGCCACTATGACGTACATCAATGTCAGAATTAACAAATCGTATTTCACACATTTTTTAAAACTAAAATTGCTCTAATTTTGCACTCTATCAATTATGTTCCTCGAGTTAATTCGTCACTAACATATCGATTTACATCCAATGACAATAGTAACATTTTAAATGGAAATATTTATGAAACTTTTTCAATTTATTATAATCAATTAAAAATATTTTAATATCAAACTTGAATACAAAAAATATTTTGTTCATAACATGAGCGAAATAATGCATTAATAGAAATCCAAAGATTGGATAATTTTTTAATGAATTAATTACTTAGAATAATCATCATTTAATTGGAAAATTTATTATAATTATTATGTCTGAACTTTTCCAGTTACCTTTTAATTAACTAAATAGATAAATTTTAAAATTAATTTTATCCTAGCGAAAATAATAGTTCTAATTAAACAAATGACAAAATTCATAGTTCAACTTCTTAATTAATTTCTGTTAACATTTATTAATTTAATAAAATTCAAAATAATTTTCATTAATACATACTCACAGTGATTCAAGATAACGTGCTTCTCGTAAAGCAAGATAATCGTTGCCACTTTACTACCTCCTTAGTCTTTTCCTTTTTGATAATTAATAGCAATTATACGTTTTTATTACCAAAACTTTTTATCCTTTATCAATTAATCTTATTTTTGCTTTTCCTTAACGTAATCAGTACACTTATTGAATGTGATCATCCACGAAATTTGCGCAATAATCACGATTTATATTTTATTCAACAATTTTATTAACGGCACTGAATCACGATATGCTTCATGAACGGCACTAAATTGTTAACGTTATCACACTGGGCCTGCTTTATTGCATTTTATTTTCAATTTCAGACCTTCAATTAGATTTTCTTTGATATCTCATCAATCACCAGCTCACTGATCGTTCAGTAATTAAGAGAAAAACTTGACAACTTTTTCGGCCTTAAAATCATATCACGTTGCAACTTTTAAAATATTACTATTCGATTGAAAATAAAATATTTAAATATTTTTTTGATATCAATCAATCAAATGTACATTAGAATTTTTTTAAATTTATGAGCATTGGACGGAAGGATTTAAATAACTTTTCCTTCAACATGATTTTTGATTTTGATTAAATATTTTTGTCAATCCGTGAATAATCTTAATACTTGCGAGAAATATTCTTCGTCAAATGTTATTCGACGTTTGGTCAATAATTAATTGAGTTGGCCTTTTACTCGAAGCAAGTAGAAGAAAAGTTGTAAATTTGATAAAATAATTTACTAATCTTTGTGGTGATAACAAAAGCAATATTTTCACAATCTGTCTTGTTTAAAAACACAGAACCCGGAAAGTTTTGTGATCGATAAATGGTGTTTTTATCAAATAAATACTCGTATTTTGGTGAAATGTATACGTGCTATGAATTCAATTCATGCAGAGAAAAATAAAAATGTAGATCAAAATGTCTATTTATTTATACTCGTTGTTTAACTTTCTTGTGAGTTAAATTCCAAATATGATTGTTTTAAATTTTGAAGTCTATTTAACGACAATTCAATTATCAAATTATTTTTAAATCTTCTTTCATAGAAAGGTCAGTTAAATGCAGGTGTTCAATACATCAAAAAATTGACATTACATTCTTCAAGCATGTGATCTTCTTCTTCTTCTTTTTTCACTTTTTCTTTCAGTAGAGTTTTTTTTTCAAGCGCTTACCTTGAAACTCTAAGTCATTAAATTTTTCGAAATAAAACTGAAAGACTCCAAGTATTTATAGCAGTATAAAAAATCCATATCTTACAGTAATTTATTGCAAATGAATAATCTATAAGGGCAATCTATTCAGTGTATTTTTTCATTTATTTTCCCTTCTCTTTGCTTTAATTACAAAATTTAGTCTTTCATTCTATTAATTACTTCTCGCTTTTATTTCTATTCCCAATGGACCAATTGAATATGTACGACGATAAAATCAACATCACCAATGCATCTTGCAACAATAATACACAAGTGATAAATAAAGAAACCTATGCAATAAAACAGATGTTTCTTTTTATTTTATATGTATCGCACATCTCTCACTCGTTCAAGGAATTTGTTTTTTTTTTGTATTTTTAGTCATCAAAAATTCTTTGTCTTTTATTTCTTTTCTCTGTTCACTCTATTTCGTGTTGACAATCCAACACTTTTTTACTTGCTTCCTACTTATAATTCTGAGAGCAAATCACTCGTTTTTTCTCTCTCTTTCTATTACAGAAATATGTATGACACACTTAAAGAAAGGGCGATGTCACTAGATAAATCAGAACTACCTTCCTGCTGTCTATCACTTTCACATCAGAAAGAATCAAAGAAAATATTCTACATGTAGGATTCTCAATAGACCTTTTATATCTTTGCACTCTTCACATCCCTATTTTTTCACTCTCTAAAACGAGAGCAATATCATCTTCCCAATTTACATTTGAGATTTATGGCAATGAATATTGCAGAAGTATAGAATGTATCTAGTTTATTAGTTTCAAATCAAAAATATGATGATGATGATACGATATAAATCCACGATAATTAACTGATGATTATTTCAATGATGAATTTATTTATTATCTCACGTATTAAATGATTTATTATTTATTGTTTATTATTAATAGTTTATCTGAATGAACAAAAAAGGATCGATTAAAAGGAAAAACGCGCACGAGCGAATCAGTAGAAAGGGGTACACGAGTTAATGTAACCCGGCCTTGGGGAAAAAATTGTATCTTCTTCAAACTCCTCCGTGGCGTCAGACGGCCGGCGCTACACTGCTCTTGTTGAGAACCTGTCCCCGGGTTATCGGGGGTGGAAAGCTCGTCTCTAGCGTCGCTTCTGCCTCGCTTTCTCTTCTCGCTTATTCCCTTTCTCCATGCGCCGCAGCTTTTGCTATATAATACTATACATATACAGTATACACTGTTCTCTCTCACTCCCTCCTTCTCTTACCGTCAATCACACACGTCTTATGCTTGCATCCTCACCCTCTTTCCCTCTTTTTCTTATACACACGTTTGGAAAATTATGCTCTTAAACACTTTGAGCCTTGTTTCACTTTGATACGGATTTTTTTTTACTCATGAAATAAATTTCTGTTCGACACTTTGATGTTTTTTTTTTTTTTTTAGTTTAATTTGTGTATATATTTAATTTTTTATTGCTGGTGATATTAAATAGGAAAAAATATTTTTTTCAATTTTTCTGTTCTATTACAATTTAATAAAATGTTTAATAAAAAATAGTTTCAACGTATTTGCATTAATTAGTGAAAAAAATAGTTTTGTGAAAGACAGAAAATTTTTTATTCCATCTAAGTAAATGTTAGCGTTTTGCGAATTTTTATCAGTCTCTAGACTTCAGTTTTTTCCTAGCTTACAGTATGAGTACATTTTTCTATAAAAAGACCTTGTATGTTCGATGAACCGTAATTACTCCTGATGGTGACATTTTTTTCTTTCAAGACTTTAGTCAGGTAACTGGCCTTCAACATTACAGTTTCATATTTAAATAAAATAAATTAAAAAAAGCTCAATTAATTTATCTATTATTTTAGATTTATGAGTATCTTTATAAACGTCAGTATGATAATTTTTTTCTAAATATTTTGCATGAAAGCGCAATAAAATATTTAAATAAAGAAGTTATTGATTTAATAAACAATGTTTTTTTCGTTTCTATTCAGAAAAATAATTGCAGATTTTCTAAGAAAAATTCCAATACTTAATGAACAACTTGAAAGATGTAAATTGAAATAATTAATTTAAAAAAAAATATGTAATTGTTTTTTTTTTTTTTTAGTACATCATTATTTTTCTCGACTACTTTTTTGAGCGTGTTCGTGTGGTTGTAAAGCCTCTTTTAAGCAAAATGAATGAGTACATGCTTCAAGAATTTACTCCAAAAAGAAATGTCAGAAAACTCGTGGCAAAAGATTATCATTTTAACTTTTATCACGTACTTCAGCGACTCTTTTCCAATAGAATAATGCGAACTACGATGTACATGTTATGTTGGTAAAAAAGGATACGAGATATTTTATAGTAAATAAATTTATAATCATTTCATATTTTATTAAATTATGCTGATGCTATAAATGTAATAAATCTTGCGCAAAAATGGAAGAAATGAAAATTTCTATAAAAAAATGACAATTCATTTATCAAGTTGATGATAAATGAATAGCATAAGAGAAAAAAAAACACAAAATAATACAATATAGAATTCAATTATAGTTTAAACTCGTTTATAGCATTTAAAGAGGAAGAATCAATAATAACAGTTTAAAATTCTGTGAATAAAAACGTTCAACTTTTTTCGAAGGAGTAAACAAAGAAACTGGAGTAATGAAGAAAATTAAAAGTAATTTTTAAAAACTCCGATAGACAACATATTGAGCTCAAATTGATGTTAAATTTCAACTTTCATCTATCGAGGAATGTGAGACTTACCACCACATGTACTGCAACAGACGAGATGTAACATATGACACCACTCAATTCATCGTCTTCCGAGAAATTTAAGAGTCAACACTGGCAAACAAAATAGCTCCAAACGATGGAAACACAAAAGGCAGCACAATACGCCGTCTTATCTAATGCAACTAGTGTTTACACTTTTAACATTCAAGGTTGTTCTAAAATTCTCTAAAAAATACAGTGAAGATATTATGAATACGCGCACATCGTACGATTATTATCTTAAATTACATGCAAAGCACTTAATGATTTATTATATTATATCGTTAAATATTCAGTATATAATTTAAAAACACTCGCAATTTTCATAAAAAAACACTCCAAAAATTATTAGTTGAAAAAACCTTTAGTTTCTAGTAACTCATAAAAATGAACCCTTTTCATATTATTTTACTAAATTTAAGATTAAAAAATTACATAAATACACTTATTATACTTTTTCACTCACAATTTACTTAAAAAGGCAAGATAAAATACTTGAAATTCATAAAAAATACTTGAAAAATAGGGAGACGCCGGGAAACTGAGTGCAAGCGCACACGATGTTTAAGAAGCTTATCCCCACCATGTTGTCTTTTTTCATGCGTGATTAAGATGCGCAATGGCCGTAATGTTCGAAAACTTTTTACAATTAATTCAAAATAAAAGTCGCGAGAATAAAAAGAAAAATTATTACGTAAATGTTACGATTAAAAATAACACTCTATTTTAAATAAATCTATCATATGATATATTATATACATGTATAAAATGATAACTAACTCTTAGCGCTGACATATTTTGTCGATAGGTCACCATCAGTTGAAACATGCTTTGACATAATGTAAAGCTAAACAATCTTCAACGGTATTTGCAGGCTATCACGTGTTTTTATTTTGATTCACAGAACCACAATTAAATTTTAAGACATATAGCAAAAAGAATACTTAAATTATGCAAAAAATGGATTTATCATTATTACGGCAAAAATTCAGAGGCTCAATATTAGGAGCGTTAATTGGAGATTGTCTGGGAAGTCCTTATGAAAATGAAGATATGTTGACAACCGGTGAAAAAATTGTTCTTCAAAAAGCTTTTGATAAATTGGAGGGTCCTGAATTCAAAGGTAATACTAAGCCAAGAAAATTTAACTTCTATCGATTGATAAATCTAAATATACTAATGTATTTTAGCACCAGTAAAACAATTTACTGATGATTCTGCCATGACAATGAATGTTGCTCAATCTTTGGTTGAACATCAAGATCTTAACCTAGTAGATATGGCAAAAAAATTTGTAAAAAGCTATTATAGAGAACCTCATCGTGGTTATGGTCCTGGAGTAGTAACTGTCTTTAAAAAACTGAGAGGAAATAAATTTTCTGATCTTATTAAACCTGCTAGCGAACAATTTGATGGCACAGGTTCCATGGGAAACGGTGGAGCAATGAGAGTTTCACCAATAGCATTATTTTGTTATAATAATTATGATCGTTTAATAGATATGACAAAAAAAGCTACTCAACTAACTCATACTCATAAAGAAGGAGTTAATGGAGCTATTTTACAGGTGATGATAGCTCAACTAACATTAAAATAATACAGAATGTTTACATTATTTTTTCCCCTTCATTATTAATTTGTAGTAAGCAAATTATTTATTACAGGCTATAGCAGTCCATCAAAGTCTCGCATTGAATCCAAATCAACCGTTAGATCCTATTATTTACATTGATGATTTAATTAAAAAAATGGAGGCGTTTGAAGAAGATGATGAACAGTAGTAAGTTACGGAAAATCTTAACTAATATACAAAACAATTTAATAATAAAATGGTTTACTAACAAAGTCTTTTTAGTTTAGACCTAGATGAGACAGAAGTAAAACCATATAGATTTAAATTATTGTACATAAAAAAAACCATTGATCGATGCTCAATGAATAACAATGTCCAAGATGAAGAAGTTATTCAAAATTTAGGCAACAACGTCACCGCGCTAGATTCAGTTCCAACAGCTATTTTCTGTTTTCTTCGAGCTCAATATCCTGTTAATGGTATTAAAACTGATAACCCTATGAGAAGAGCCATACAGTATGCTGTAAGTTGGTGTTCATAAGGAGTAGATTTTATCCAATAAGAACTTAATACTCCAAAAGAAATAAATTTAATGAGTACTATAAAAGTTGTTTTTTTTTCAATAGATTACTTTAGGTGGTGATACTGATACTATTGCTAGTATGACTGGAGCCATAGCTGGAGCTTTTTATGGAGATGAAAAAATCAGTAAATCATTATTAGCACATTGTGAGTCATCTATGGAATTTTGTGACATAGCAGATAGACTATTCGATGTAACTGTAACGAATAAAAATTAATTTTTTTATAAACATTTATGATACTGCAGACTACATCATTATTCGAAATACTAAACGCATGCGTATCAATGAATGAAGTAATTCCAAAAAACGAATGAAGATTTTAAGTATAGAAATATTGAAGAGAGTTATGTATTTTAAACAATTGTAAATTGAGTGAGTAATTTATTATTAATTTCACATATAAATATCTGGAGTATTTTGATAGTTGTATCACTTGTGATAACCTCCAAGTAAACAGATGGTTCAATACACGTACAACATAATATAGCATAAAGTAGACTATACATCAATCAGCTGATTCAATGGATAAATCAAATTCATGAATTTCAGTCTGTGTCCTGGTTATCAATCAATTTGATAAACAATAGTTCTGGTTTCTGTGAAAAATTTTTAAAAAGTGAGAAAAAATCTCAATTGTGATGGCTGAAAATAATGAAGTTCTTGAAGGATTTTTGTGTCCTATTTGTATGACAGACTTAAAGACACCTAATCAATTAACCAAACATTTCGAGGAAGTTCATAATGATGATCCTGAAATTTTGAAATCCTTAAAAGGTAATGTATTCAATCGAATAGTAAGGAAAGACTTTATTAGAAACTTTTTAAAATAAAAAATAATATCAAATTCCAGATCTTTTCGGCAAGGCTAAAAATAAAATTTTTAAACAAGATGAAATAACAAATGACAATTTATCAGAGCACCAGGTGTCAGTGAGAGGAAGGCGTAATAGCCCAGAAATTAATTGGGGGCCACAAGAAATCGGAGCTATTAAAACACATACTGTATATTTTAGAGATAGAAGAAATGCAAGACTGGAAAGATATTCTATGGAAACGAACAAGTTATTGATAAGATTGGATAAATTATTAGATAATTTACCATCAGATCCTATTGATCGAAAAGGTATAAATCATTCAAAGTAAAGTAATTTATAATACTTGAGTATTTTTATTAGAAAAAAGTTTTATTCTTATTATAATAATTTTTTTCAGTCCATGAACGATCAATCGTTCCTTGGATTGATGATAAAGATGTCAAATTATGTCCAAACTGTGCAAGAAGTTTCCATTTAGCTAGAAGAAAACATCACTGTCGTCTATGTGGCGCAGTTATGTGCCATGATTGTACTTGTTTTTTATCTCTAGTTGAAGCTCGTAAGTTAAATTATTCTCCAACTTTATCACAATATGATAATGAATGTAGGGCATCAACTAATTCAACTTAAGTTTCCATTTAGTTTAGAATGACTTAATTTTGATTTAATCTAATAATTATCATTACGTAACTTTTCTATTACGTGTATCATAGCTAAACGAAGCATCGTTAAGCATTGTAACAGGTGAAAAAATCATCTTACATCTCTTCATATACAATTCTTACGTACACTAACGTAGTACCAATCTTAAAAATATGCTTGCTATTATTACTTAATAAACTTAAAAAACTTCTAAGAATGTGATAACAATTCAAAAACATGATATTAATTATTTAGGGAAGATGACGAGTCCAATATCAGTTCAAGATGATTCAGCAGTATCTCCGACAGTTTCCGACTCTCCTTTAACAGGTAGGATTGTCCGAGCTGGAATAGGCCTAACAAAACTCGCACGATCACCTTCTAGTGGAAGTCTAAACAGTGTTTTATCATTAATGAATGATCCAGCGAGTGGTGAACAACACATCCGACTCTGTATTCATTGTAAGAACCTCTTGGATGCAAGAGAACGATTGAAAGCGAGACAATTCTCCAAACCAATCATCACTAAATTCTACGAAACTATGAGAACGTACATGGAGGAAGCTGAAAGATTCATGACAATGTATATCAAAATGTGGGAGTCATTGAGTGAAGGGGAAACAACGTATGATTTAAGAGACGCACAAATATTGAGGATAAAAATAGCTAAAGTTGGAGAAAATGTCGATAATATTAGTAAAAGAATTTTAGCTATTGGAACTGCCGATATTGATAATCCTCCTCAAGGCCAAACGCTGAAGCTTCATCAAATGATAAGAGCATCAGCTATGATATTTCTGAAGGAAAAATTATTAACTATTCCTTCGTTGCCTACGGAAGAAGAGTATATAGCTTTACAAGAACGACGCCAGAGAAAAATTGAGGAACGAATTGCTTACGAACGGCAGTTGGAAATTGAAGAAACTTTACGAGAAAGGCGTAAAGAACAAAGAAATGAGAATAAAAATTCTCAAGGATCGTCTGTGACGACTAATAATGAGGTACAATTCATAATTTTTAATTGAATCATCGATAAAAATGAATTCTTAGTTAATCAATTTTGTTTTTTTTTATTAATAGCCAATAATGGAAAAATCTCAAGGTTGGGGTCCTTCCAACACAGTGGCGATTCTTCCATCAGCATCGATGGATCCAATAATTGAACAAATGAGTAATTTACGATCTTATATTAAGCAAGCTAGAGCTGAATGCAAGTATGATGAAGTTGTTACGTTAGAAAGCAATTTACGAGAACTTCAAAGCGCCTATTTTGCAATGAAGCAAAATAATGACGGATAATTTGAGAAAAAATCAACGGCAATTAAAAATCAATTTTTACCGTTTTTTAATCTATTAAAAAAATAAATATGACTTTAAAAAAAATATTATGAATGCACTAAAGATTTTTTATGCAATTTATAAACGAAGCATTTGATAATTAAAATTTGCAACAATTTAAGTATCCATGGCAATTTAATTTTAATACTAGTTTTTTAGTTTTATTATTCTGATTTTTAGATTCTTAAATAAATAAAAATGAAGTGCATAAATCCATTAAAATACAAAATGGAAATATTTATTTCATAAACTCTGAACAATTCATATCGTAAATAATGGTATTATTTAAAATATATTAGGTATTTATTTATTTATAAATGTTTATTTACATTGTAATTTTTATTATTGTCAAAATGTATCACGTTTCTTTTTCCAATATACATAAAATCAATATAGAAACTTAATAATTAGATATCATTTGAAGACTTTATTATTAAAAACTTTTGTTGGTTGTTCTGTTCAATCAAATACATCCAGCTAATGATTAGTTATAATCATAAATCTATAAAAATACTTGTAATCAATATAATTAACGCTTAGAAAACTCTAAAACAGTTAGAGGTAATTCTTGGGAATCGATCGGTGCTGGACAAACGATAGATTTAAAAGTATCAGAATTGTTACTATTTATCCGTCTGTTAATCGGAGTGTGTTCTTGCTGTGATTGATTGTTATTTAAATCATCAGATACAGAACTGCCTATTAGACGAGAACTTTCTTGACTGTAATTAGAACTCTTGGATTCAGTACAACTCGATTCAATATCAATATCGGAATTTTCATCCCTCACTTTTTTTATACAAAGAGGAAGTTCAAATGACTGTAATTCTTCAGGTAATTGGAATGGTACTCCATTGGATAAGTTTTGAGGTATTATTGGAATGCTTTCTGATTCTTTTGCAGCTGCCATGTTAAGTTTTAGAGCCTCTAAATTAGGTAAAAACGAACCTGATTGTTCTACACCATATTGAATTTCTTTTATATTATCAGAACTGAACTTAATTAAATTTTCACTTTTTTCAGTGCCATTGTTAATCTTTTCTTCCTCAGATTTATTTGAATCATTGAATTCATTACTGAATTTTATCAAATCCGATACTGATTGATTTCCAAGGTTTAATTCATTTTGTGCTTTATCTTGTCCTGCTGATTCGGAGTAATTTACTTTAAATTCTCTGATATCATCAGTCCTTGAAACGGCATTAAGCTTTGAAAAGTCGGGTAATTCTCTTGAAGGATATGCAATATTTTGTTCATGTCCCGCTTCGACAGTTGATTGTCGACAATATTCAGTATTTGAATTCTCTGGAGAATCTTCTAAGCTTAAATGATCAATAAAATCTTCAGGAATTTCAACTGGTGCAGCTGGGCCGAGTTGTGGTCGTTCTGGAGGAAGTGTTTTCAATATTTCAACTGCTAAATAGTCAGCAGTTCTGAATAATTGAGCTTTGATTGAAAGATTAATGACTGAATTAACAGTAGGTCTTTTTCGACCCCATGTACCCCATTCGTCTAAAAAAATTTCTGCTGGGCAACGATGTTGCTTTGCTGCTGCACATTCAATCATCCTAAAAATAAAAAATGATTTAAGCATTATGATGATCATTACTTGCATTAATCAAGTGTTAATTAACGCATTTGCTTACCCTACGTGTTCACTATTGAACATAGGAGATGAATCTGATTCAGACTTAGGAATGATTCCCATTAAAATTTTCCAGGAGTATGGACTTAGCGTCTTGGCCAGCGCATAAAGTTCTGCTGGACGTAATTTTCTGATCTCTGTTTCACGGTCTACCATTTTTTATCACTTAAAATCACTTGCTTCAGTATAAAAATATCAAAATAGTTGATTCTGTCACATGCTCATGTCTTTCTATTGACACCATTGCTGTTTTTACATGCGTCATAGCATTTGAAAGTACTGCCCTCTAGTTTTGTGTAGAGTAACAAAATTGGTTACCAACAGAGAATAATAGTCTTTTATGATAAAATAGAACCCACATTGAGCTTTAAAAATGGCTGATAGATGACAGTAAAATGTAGCAGAGGCGGTCGAAGTTTAATTAATGGAAAATTCTGCTCTTCATGGAATCGTATTTAATTACTCATAATTTTTTGTTCTCTTTTTGTTCTTCCTAAACCAACGAGCGCTTATAGGCCATACAGTTAATCGTGCAACAAGTGGACTCCTTGTTTGTCATTACAGTGAGAGAGTGCATATTTTTGATATAATATTCGATCTTTTTAATTTAATTCATTAGCGTAAAAATTATCTATAAGAACTGATGAAAAAAATAATATTCTAATATGAATATTAATCTGTACGTGCAAAGATCATTTCATACAATGGTATAATTTACATTTTATACAATAAAAAATCAAATTAATTATTTTTTTACAGAATTATCATCCACTTGTTATCAACGATCCATTTTTCCTTAGGAAATGAAGACAAGATAACTCAAATAAACGAAGGATATCCTCTTGATACTGAAGATCTTCCTGCAGAATCATCATCTGAAATCCTAGAATGTCCATCTTCAAATGTTTTCCGTATCAAATATAAGTGTCCTGGACCTTCAAACACCTGGACAGATTGTATTAGAGCTCAATGTTGTCCAGGTTATAATCTAATTAATCGAAAATGCTATCCTCAAAGTTTAGATCCATGCAGTTTGAGTATATGTGAACAAAGATGTTCTGTTATTCTTCACAAGGTCATTTGCACTTGCTGGGATGGTTATAGATTTAGTACAGATAATCAACGACTTGGAAAGAAGCCTCTATGTATTGACATTGATGAGTGTTCAGAAAATACTCATGATTGTGAACAGATCTGTATCAATAAACCTGGGGGATTCTCTTGCAATTGTAGGAATGGATTTTCTTTAAGGAAAGATAATACAACTTGTGAAAATAATCATTTAAATGAACCAAAAATTAGCAATAATACAAGTACAGTCGTAAATAATTCTCAGTGTTTATCAAGCTGCACCACAGTTCAACGTCTTCAAAAAAAAGTCTCTAAGCTACATGAAAAATTAACTGCCTTAGAAACTGCAGTTTCATTATCAATAAATATTTTGAATCAACGTGATAATTTAGGTCTTTACAAATCTAATGGATATCGTGAAAATGTTGCACAGAATATTCACTCTAGTTCATCAGCAGCTTATAACGAATATTCTCATAGCAAATCATATTCAGTATTTGATAGTTTTGTTCAAATCGGATCTGATTATTGTAAATGTCAACGTGGGCCAATTGTATGTATTTTTTTCATTAATCTTTTACAAATTTTATGTCACAATAATCATCAATTCTAACGATTTTTTTGGTAAAGGGACCACCAGGCCCACCAGGCATGACTGGACCAAAAGGTGCAACTGGAGAAAGAGGATCTCGAGGGCCTAAAGGAGCTGATGGAAATATCGATTTTTTGCTATTAATACTAGCAGACATTCGATACGATATTACCATACTTCAAGAAAAAGTTTTTCCTGGGCAAATGTAATTATTTGAAATTATTTGCTGATTAATTAATGCAAGTAATCATTTCAGTTATTTGAACTTTCTTTTTTATAGACCTCCAAAGTTTGACTTGGATGAGGTATTAAAAAAGCAGCGGCTATTGGATGAGTCTAAAAAAGTAAAAAAAGAGGGCAAAAAAATAGAAGATTTTAAAGGATCAAAAACTCTCCACTTCTCCGATTACGCATCGCCTGAAGAAGGTTTTATTGAGTCTTCGGGTGATGAATGGGATCACTATGAAGAGTAAAAGATTCAGCAATATGAGAATATCTTTCATTCGTTAAATATAAGTATCATACATGTTTTTATTATTGAATTTTATTCCTATGTAATATAGAAACTGTTTGATAGGATCATTCAAGATATTTTAGTCTACTAATGGTGTTCAAAGTAGCTCATTATAATACTGGTTATTAAATTAATTTAGAATCCGTAATATGATTAGTAACTACATAACGCTGGTATATTATTCTGAGGATTTACTCCAAGGATCAAATTGGGCAGTCCTGTAAAGCTGCGCCTGCGTTTGCAACAGTTGCGAGTTTGTACCAATTGCGCATTGGCCGTGAAGAATCTCACTCACTGAGAAGAGATTCGATGTTTCAGCTTTTAACCACGCCCAGATCTTGCTCCCCTTAGATCAGAGCATTTATCCTTGCATTGAAATAAAAAAAAATATATGTGCATTGAAAAACCGGTTGAATGTTAGAATATTTTATGCAAGTTATTATATGGATTTCTTTATCCTTAATCCGTTTAATGTGATATTGTTCAAGATATTTATTAATGTGAAGGCACGTGGAATAAAGCAAATAATTTGCAAAAGAATCATAGAAAAGAAATTGAATAATTTTAACAATAGTTAAATAAAAATGATTTTAAAAATATTCTTTATTTTTTATTGTTTGCTGATGCATACAACTTTCAGAAACATTTTAGCTCTCGAGTACTTTCATGATTAAAAAATAATTCTGTACATTTACTCTTGAAATAAATGCATGAAATAAAAAAAAAAAAAAGAATATTGAAATTTTAACAAATAACTGGTAATTGGAAAAAATTAATTAAATTCATTAAAAAAAACAAAAGTATTTTTATTTTGTAAAATGTAAAACGATATAAACGAGAAATGATTTAAAATTCTAGTGGAAAATATGTAGAGATGAATAGATTTCCAAGGATGTGTTTGAAGGTTTGTGGATAAAATATGGTTAAAAGAGAAGAGGTTTGGTGAGCTTTAGGTTTGACCGTTTCATCGGACTTTATATGCTCACACCAATTTTTTTATTTTTTACTATATCCATCACTCTTTTTTACAGCTTGAGTTATCAAAGCTTTCGTATGCGAGTGAGTGAGAAAGAAAGTTAAAAAATGAGTTAGCACATTATTTTTACTGCCCCCGCTGGATTCAGCTGACCAGTCCAGCTTCATATTCAGCTTCAACCCTAGCTGGAGCGTCGTTCGAAGCTTTGCAATATGCCGCATCAGCGGACGTGAAAATGAATATATACAAAAAAAAGAGCACACATCCAACGTTTATAGATCCAAACGTATGTGTATATATATTTTCAACGCGCTACGCTTTGACGACAATCGTTTTAGGATAGATATGCTCTCTCCAATGTCGGTACCAGGAGGCCATTTTCAATTCAATCTGTTGAAAGCACGTCAAAAAGTCATACTATATTTCATTCAGCTTCCTACTATGTAGAATTTATATTCTATCTTTTTCCTATTAATAAAATCATTCACCATGCAAATAATCAGACTTAAAACTTGACTAAATTTTCACAGGAAAATCAGAGCATTGAATCAGCTCCCACGGGTTCAATGAAGCCACATTGTCATCATACACTTAATCGGATACAGTCAAAAACAGATCACCGGCATTCAATTGAATAAAGGTAAAGAGCATGGATCTCAATCAAAGTAGTTTTTTGTACTTTCAAGTATCTTACACCAAAATTCCCACCTACTTCTCAAACAAATACTTACGATAGAATTTGGGGGAGATGAAAGATAAGAGAAGTGTAGTGAAATGCACATGTTAGTATATTTTCATCTGTTGCAATTTTTTAATCCACCCTCGCTTTGTTTGGCTTCTGACAGTGGCTCTTTAGATCTCTATAACTAGTATCTGATCCGATCTAATCTGTGGCATAACATTGCAGGACTACTATAGATCTTGTTGGCAAACATCGTAATTCGAGATACTTGAAAAACGATGGTTCAATTGCTCGAATCTTGGAACTTTTCTCGCTTGATATAATACGACCTTTTCTTCTCTAAGAATGTGTATATAATATAATGCACGCACAAATAATATATTGGAATATACCTGTTGCCTCAGGACACTCTGATAAGGTATATTACAACTGATAAAAAATATTACTTGTGATTATATAATAAATTGACTGTTGGAATAAAAGTTTTTAAAGTTAGAATGGATGATTGTAACGTATGCTGGAAATAATTATGTAGATGGATACCATCAGAAAAAATGATCTACATTTAAGAGTAGTGAAAAAGAGAGGGTGAGATATTTGGGGGCGAAACACAGCTGAACACAATGGTATTATCCCATTCTCATTGCGGCGAAATAACATCTGTACATTAGATCACTATAAAAATCGGTCGCCATTGCTAGTTAACAATGGAGTACCCATTGAAATCTCGTTCGTGGAATACGATTCAAAGGTTTCGTCATGGTTCCCAAATGTGTTGATGGTGGTTGGTCGCGCAAACCCAAGCGGCATTTGAGAGATATTGAGACATCAAGTCGGTAAATTTGTATGTAGTGGATATAATAATAAAAAGAATAAAGAAGTAATAAAGAAAAAGAAGTAAAAAGCATATTAAATAAAAAAAAATCACTCTGATGAAATGTACGCGGGGGTTAGTAAAAACAGTTGGTCGTAACAAAAGAGAAAAAGAGAGACGAAACGTCTGAGCATCGCATCAGGTATTGTATTCGTTTATATTAGAAGGCTTTTAAATAAAAGAGTAATGTATTGGTTGGTTGCATTTACACTCTTCTATGTACACATATGAACTTCACGTATACATTATCGGTTCTTTATCCAGTTTTACATGCAGCGAGAAAGTGAAGAAGAGAATCTGAGAGAGGGAGGAGACGAGGAGAGGAAGCTGTTGGAAACCTAAAATACATAGTAGACTCTAAGTGAGATGGAGATCATGCCAAGGTATATGCCCTTTCGGATACCATCGGGAACTAGCTGCTGCAGATATAAACTCTTAACATCTTTGTGGGACGTCAGAGATCCGCCAATGAGCAGCAAGAACGGGCGTGGTCCGGGACATTCGAGGGTTACGTTTGGCGGAAGCCTCGGGGTGGAACACTGTGGCACAGTGTTTTATTTCGCGTAAATGTTGGAGGGGCTGTTAGTTTCACCGTCATCCCACCCCACCAAGTATTCCCCTCTCTTTTCCCACCCTCACCTCTCACCGCCGACGCCTCCCAGCTACCTGAATCTGATCCCATCGTGATGCTGCAATTGTTGACAACGACTAAGAGACCTCACGAGTCTGTTACTCTGGCATTTCGTCCGGAACGATCAACCGGACCCTTTACTATCAATCCCTCGGTACAGTGTCCAAGTGTGCTACAGTTTATCAAGATCACTGTAACTCTTAAACATTGTTCATCATCATTACTTATTGATACAGTTATCAAACCAGTGTATTTATTTCACCCCGGGTAAATAATCTCCCAACCAAGTGTTAGTCGTTGGTTGGCTGGCAGTCACGACGAATGAGACATTGCGACATTGCGCGGGGTAAGCTTTGCGCATATCCCGCTGCTTGGACAATTGAATCGTGGATTTGAATTTCCAACGAATAGTCAATCCCAACCAGTGCATCATGCATTCTCGTCAGAATAATCTTACATTATTCCGGATTTCTTATGATTAACTGTGCAAGTGTCGTTCCGTGATTCACATCATTTATTAAAATATAACTTACATCAATAACACTAGAATCAAAAATGTCTCAGTGAAATTAGACTTTGTAAGTCATAGTAAAGTGATTGAGTAGCAGCAATGTCTTTGCCAAGAGGAGTTGGTCTTGGAGTAGATGTAGGTCAGTTGATGCAACATCAACAACAACAGCAGCAACATCACGTGTTACCTGCTGCGTTTTTTCTGCGTGCCAGTGCTGAACGTTATCAAAGAACACCAAAGTGCGCGAGGTGTCGCAATCACGGAGTTGTGTCGGCCCTCAAAGGGCACAAACGTTATTGTCGATGGCGGGATTGCGTTTGTGCTAAATGCACCCTTATTGCAGAAAGACAACGTGTCATGGCTGCTCAGGTATGTCATGACGTTTATTCAATATTTCATCTTTGCCTAAAATTTTCAATCAAAAACTACTTCAACTATTCTACATTGTCCGATTGCTGCTCTGTAATTCAGTAAAAGTTGATGCAAAAATAATCAACGAAACGAGAACTCATTCTTAAAAATGATTTCGAGTGTTGCTTTGATTAAAATGAAAAAAACAACCCCGCCTTTAAGAGGATTTAGCATGCAAGAATTACACTTTTGTAATTCAAGTCCTGGGACACAGTAACTGGTAAAAAAGGGGGCAGGTAAAGCTCTAGAAGAAATATAACCAGCCTATCGTGTCACATTACCAGCCTCTTGGTACACAACCCTGATGTTTTTGCCGGGAAAACTAGACTGGCAACCCTCCTTTTGATACACACTCCAAGCATTCCCCTATGTTACATTATGTATACATGTACATTCTTTTTTATTTTACCAATGCGAAAAATGACACCCTGTCATTGATATGTTAGCTGAGTTTTATTCGTTTATACAGTTAATATAAAATTTGATTCAATAATACTCTCTAATAATAGAGATACCGTTGAACATTTTGGAGTTTTTTTCATACTGAAGTGTAATTAATTAACAGGTCGCATTAAGAAGACAACAAGCCCAAGAAGAGAGTGAAGCAAGAGAGTTGGGTCTCCAATTGCAGTATAATAATGGTAGTTGTCCAACTGGTCCTGTATTACCTACGACTTCTGCAGCTGCACCTACAACCGGAAGCTCACCCCCACATCCAACTCACGTTCCGAGTCCAGCTGGTCTGGCAATTGCTGCTGCAGCAGCACAGATACAAACTCAACTTCATCAGCAACCAGATTGTGGTCTTCTTCAACGAATTAGAGTACCACAGGATGATTATCGGCCTGACATGAAAACAGATACCAATTCGTTAGGATCACTTTCAGGTAAAACATTGATTTTACTAACAACTGAATTAAACAGAAAACGTATGTTATTGCGTAAAAGCTCATAAACATTGTCCTCAATTCAAGTATGCTTAAGATGCAGGTGATTATTAAAAAATTGGCATAAGTGCGAGTACTTGCGGGTCTGCACGCGCTTACTCTCAAGCTAGAAGAACAAGGAGCCAAGAGTCTCGAGAGCGACGTGTACTAGAGTATTAAAAAGCGATCCAAAACATTAACGGTCTTCTAGATGAGGGGTATTATTAAAAGAGCTCTGCTATTATTTACTCGGCCTCGTGGCTTTAGCATTTGTTCTGACACTTCTTAGCCATTTGTTCTTCGACATGAACTTTGAATTAGTAGTTAACGTGTGGCAGTATTTTTTGGTCGCGTGTCATTATCCAATTGTTGGCAGTTGAAAGTGAAGTGTTAGTTGAGAATGGAAATGAAGTGTTAAGAAGGAAGAAATCGTATTTTTCCATTTTTAGTCTTGATTTTTTTTTAATGCTCGAGACAGTGCTCAGTGTATAGATACCAAGCGAGAGGCAGAGAAAACTTAACTGAAGAAGTTTAGCAGTAATTGAATTTCTCGGGCCAGTGCCTCTTGAGTCGAGGGAAGAAGATGGCTGGTTGGTTTTAGTACTCGGTTAGATTCCTGCGTTATATACAGGTATATCATCTGTATATATATAAATGTAAGGGTGAAAGACAGCAGAAAAAAAATGAAAGATATTGAGAGGTAGTATCTATATAGGTAAGAGAGAAACTTGGACGATTCCTTCCCCATCGTACGATACTTGAATCGTGAAATCTCATCTTATGTATTCAAACGAAGATGGATACCGAAGTATAGAGACTTGGTATGGCCAGAGGGAAATTGTCCAACATGTACACATTCTTTTCACATACAGAGGTTTACTAAAAAGGAATCCTCTTGAGTTTAAGGTCATCCAACTTTGGACTTTACTCGTTTTCTATAAGAACCTGGAGACTGGTGTCTACCACCAGAAGTTTCCATGCTATTCTGTCGCGTAGAAGTTAATCTTGAGTGTATATGCAAGTCAAGAGAGTCTCCTCGTTTATTCCAAGATCTGTGGATATCACTTTGCTTCTTTAGTCATCGGCCATTATGCTCCTAACTTATTCTATGCTCAAGCAGGAAACGAGCCACCCAAGAAACTTTGTTCTATAAGACACTTGTTTCCGTATACCTGTTAGGGACATCAGGAAATTGTTTTTCTCATATAATGACACATCTTTAATCAATTCATACCATTTTCCTTTTCATTTTATGTCAAATATTGATATTTTTATGATGTGAGTCATTGGAGATGACTTTTGAAGAAAGTGAGTTGATCAGTATGTTGGAAAAAAATTTTTTTTTAGATACATGAAGTTATTTGGTTGTACGTATAGAAGATAACAGTATTTATGAGAAGTTAACCCTGGTGCTAGAATGATGAGGGTGTGCATCAACGTTCGTATGATGAACCAAGTACTTTGTGCTTATGTTTACCTAGGTGTACTCACGCGTGCGAACCCATAAGAGCACGTTTCCCGCAAGTGTTTGAACTAAACCTTCCTATACATCACCAACTCATTTACAGTCACGTTACTTTTCGTGTTTAATTCTGAAATATATTTACTTTAACGATTCTTTAAGTTAAATCTACATACTACAGCATCAATTTTACAACATTCCTTTTTTTTTCAGTATAAAATCTAAATATTTTTTAAAAATAATTAAATAAAAAACTCCTTGGAAAATATTCATAGAAGATAATATTTTTGGAGTTAAAATTTTGATGAAAGAATTTTCCTTGAATGAAATATTTTAGGATAGCTTTTTATTAATGGTAGAAAAAACTTTAAACTTATTTATAAATATTTTCGATGTATGCAATACAATTTAATTTATTCAAAGCCTATAAAAATTTGAAATTAGAGATTAGAATATTAACTTGCATCATTTTATATTGATACATGAAACCACCGGCACTTCTTCAAGAATAAATGAAATACGTTTAGTGAAAAACTACAAGTTGAAAATATTTTATAATAGGTTTCCTTCGTGTTAGTATTCATTTTAATTATAAAATTGAGTAATTAAAAATGAAAAAATTTTTAAAGGCTTGATAAAAATAAAGAATAATTTATGGTTGCACGAGAGTTGAGCGAATACCTCGAGAGAAAAATATCGAAAAGAATCGAGACGACGTGAAAGCATCGAGAGGTTAACGCCATTCGCGGGGAAACTTAGGAACAAAAGCTAGAAGTTGGCGAGAAACAATTAAAAACGTTTTGCTCGATCGCTTCCACACCCCCGACGCTGAAGTCTTTTTTTCTCTCCTTCTTTCTGTCGTAGTAAAAACGGCTTAACCTGATTACCCTACACCCTTTCGACGGCAAGAGGAAGAAGTGAAGAAAAAACCCAAACACCCTGATGTAAGGAGGGTGGAGAAGAACAAAGAATAAATCGGCGACGATTTAATGACTGATCGTGCTGTTGCTTGCTCTGTTGCTGGCGTTTAGAGCTGTTGCATTAAATTCTATACTACACCTTAGACTTTCGCTCATTTCCTACTCTTCAGCCCTTCCATTTCCCTCGTTGCTTTTTCCTAGCGTATCGATACGTGATAATGAGATTCTTTTGTCACTCCTGGAGCACCTGGAAATGCTTGCTAGCACATCGAGTGTCCATTGTACGTGACAAATTCTCCATCGTAATTATCACGTACTTATTATTACAGTGATAGAAGAAATTATTTTTTTGGATTAATCAGTTGATTTATTTCCAATTTTATTCATCAAGTGAATCAATATTTTTGTTTTACATAAACATTAAAAATAAATAATCTTTTTAAATTGAACTAATGATTTTTTTTCATCATCAATTGTCTTAAAACATGTCTGAGCATAATTATTGTATTCTACTTATTAAACAATTGATGCTATTTAATTTTGCAATATTCATCAATTGATTATACTTGGAAAAGAATCTCTAGTACAAAGTATACGTGATGATTGAATAAAAAAGTTTCTCATCAATGTATCTCGCGAGTTATCACCTTATTTACGGTTTACGATCGCGTCATAAACCAAGTTGTTTTATAGCAATATCAGTTAACAATAGAGCTTGATAATTCATGAGCCATGTCTGCAACAAGCCGCGAATATCTCGGGCATCCATAAGCCACACGGCTTAGTAGCTTAACCGCAGGGTTCAAAGGGGAATGATCCCTGAGGGTGTATCTGCGAGTGAGAAGTGTGACGCCTCGTCTAATTTATCACCTCGGGAACTTCCCTCTTTTTCAAGTCTTTCGTTAACTAGAATAATCATGGGACCAAACAATAGAGTCTATTGGGAAAAATAAAGATTAAAGTTGCTCATTATGTGCAAGTGTTGAATTGAGTTGGAGACAAGAGTAGACAATGACATATGAAGGAGACTCATCTAAATTTATAGGCGATGTTTCGTGTCCTCCACAGTTACCCAGAGCTGTGTCCTATTGCTCCTATTCTCTATTATGCCGCGCAGCAGCTCGGATGGAGCACCAGCTAGGCCGGAAGCTCAATATCTATATGCCATTCTAAATTATTCGGCATTGTCCCACGTTGATTCCATTGTCCGTGTCTGTCTCCACCGTGCGAGATACGCGATGCGCCGCGACGCCGTGCTTGTGGGGCGTATCCCTCTCCTCTTGCCTCTATTACACTAGAGAATGTGTGTATGTCCTCAAGCGTATGAATACACATATTCGAGCACTCGTTTGACCCTCGAGCTTGGATTAACATTCACGCACATGAGGGAGTACTAGGGATGAGAGAGACAACGTTTATATATCCTCCCTGGTGCACTTATGTTGAGATATACGTCGGCTTTATCCGTCTGATGCTTGTCCGAGAACACTCTCTTCAGTTTATAAAACTCTCTGCTAGTTGTTTAGTGACATGTCGCTTTGTTCTTTTATTTCTATTTTATTTTTACATCGTATGGTAGACAATGTCATGTTCCAAGAGTCGCCAAGAGCTTGTGGAGTCATAAACAGAACCTGAAGTTTCTTCTCAATCCCCCCTAATACTGATGACGTAAAATAATGTGAGCTTCTCTTATATTCTTCAAAACATTCCAGAGATTATTAAGATATATATTATGAGGCTGCTTGTCAAGTATATGCAAAAATAAACTTTATTTTTTAGGGTAATAGGTATTATGATGGAGAATCTCATAAAGAATGCCCCCAAAGGGATGTAAATCGTCTGTAATCGAATATAGAAAATGAGGGTGGAATTTCGGAGGTCGAGTATATAATCGTTGGACACTCTTGTATAAAATAGATGATAGAACATTTACGCTTCGACGCTAGTAATACATTTCAACGCTTCAGAGCATAATAATAATAATAATCTAGAAATAGACACTTATGGCACGTTTAATAAAGTGTCGCCGCCGGCTGACTCCGTTCATGAACATTATGAGAGATCACGAAGAATGACAAAAGCGAACGAGGTCAACCCTACTCACATTCTTTACATTTTTCTTTCGCAAATTGTTCTACTAGTAATATATGGTCGACAGTTATTACTGTTTCATATATAAAAAATACTCTTTAACAACTCAATACACCTTTTTTCATCATTAGTTGTTTTTCTATGCTTCATTTAACTATTACAAAATGTTAGTTCAGACTAATTACATTAAATGTACTTATCTAATGATACTTCAATATTTGTTAATCAAACAAACTAAAGACTTGTATTTTTTTTATTTATACAAAAAACTATATTTTATCAGGGTGTTTTTAAATATGAAATATTTAGACAAATGATAATTAGCATTTCATCATTAATTCGAATTTTATTGATTCATCAAAACATATTTAATACCAGGTTGAATAGAGTATAAAAATGGAAGGTAAAATTCTAGTATTGAATAAAATACTATCCAGCATAAAATTAATAATATCAATGAAATGTGAAGCAATTATAAGCTACATTATATTTGAATGAGTATAGAAAATCAAACAAATTTTATTTGAATGCTTGAAGACTCACTTTTCTTGAAATAAAAATAAATACGTTGGGAGAAATGAAATCGCTTAATAATCACTGCAACCCTTCGCTAATTTAAATTATCGCAAGAGTTTTGTCCGAAATAATTGCTAGCACACGAATGTTTTTATACAAAAGCGTTTTTACACCAATTGAACGTACCAATATCCCAGAGTTTTTGAATAAAACGGAACTTGCAGAACCATACGGGAAATTGTGAGCTTTTAATAGCCTTGCGATTACTGTGCGCTGATACATTGGTTGAACCGGGAAAAGAAAAAGAGAAATAAAGAGAGAAAAAAATTTCAAGAGCCGGATAACCCCGCTATTCCGAGGCTCTCTATCGCTGGCCGCTCGTTAAAAGTTCCAACGTCCGTTTACTATAGATTGATAGAGCCGCGAAATGTAGCCAGAGTGGTTGTATCAAGTGGCTAATACGAGTACATGTACATACAAAAAGCAACGCGTGTTACAAGAGCACTGAAGAATTTCTATTATGTTGTGCTCTACCTGCCACAACCTGCAATGTATATACACTGGCAAGCGGATCATAATAAAGATGCTGAAGAGAATAAATGAGTGAGAGATGATGGGAGGAGGTAGACCAAGAGGTACATATTATACGCACGAAGTTACCCGCAAGTGCACGTGTACACGCACTCTCTAGGATAATGGTCGTGTTTCAAGTGGCGGTGGTTTAACTTTCAAGGACTATTAACGATAGTATAGCATATAACTTAGCAATGGCACGAGTATTCGCCCTCTTCTTGCCTCGTTAGCGAGAATCAGTCGAGCGAATCTCATGAAATGATCTGGGGAAAACCCACCGACCATTGTCCGTTATCATCCCTATAAGATACTTGTCCTCATTTTTCCATTCATCCTAATACCAAATTTTTTTCTATAAACCATCCCACGTTTACACAATCTATCAAACTCACATTCAACTCTTTGTCTGATGTTTTTGCTTCAACACTGATTTTATTTCTCTTCATTCACCAAAAAAATTTTTTTTTCTTACAATCAAGGATCCAAACGGCCGAGACTAGCAGTTCAAGATTCTGGAAATGATGAGGATCGAGATTCTGATTCTGGTGCTGAAGCAAGAGGCTCTTCTACAGCACGATCACGCTCCCGATCGAGATCTCGTTCACGTTCTGCATCACGTTCTCATATAAATGTATCCAGTGGTCCAAGTTTGATAACAGAGACTGATCATGTGATTGGAATGAAGAGAGAAAATAGTATCAATGAGTCAGATGATGGTAGTCCTGAATCTGGTAGTCCAAGTCCAACGCATACACCTCCTTTAACTCCAGCCTTAACACCTCAAAGAGTTGACACGCCAGCTCCAGAGAATCTTAGCCTGCGAAAAACAATTAGTCCACCACAAACACCTACTCAAACAGTTCTTCAAGCTGTTGATCTCGTACAACCTCGACACAGTCCACCACCATCATCTTTAGCGGTTAGTAATATTTTTATTTGTTCAAAAAATATTATTACACACTACTGAAACTAAAATAACGTTTTTGATGATTCATGAACAAATAGATTCATTTGTGTCACTACATTTATTTTATGAAAAAAATTTAAATGAAAAATCAATGTTGAAATAAAATTGAATAAATAGGATTTTAATTCTTTTAAGAAAAAATAAATTATTTTTCATGTTTATGGTAGACTGATGTTGATCGTTAAAATGTTACAAGCAGGCTGCAGCAGCCGCGGCGGCTCACTTCTCACCTTATGCTCCACTTTATGGACCTGCAGCAAGTTCACTCTACTGTGCCCCAGCTCTCTACCAACATCAACATCATCATCATCACTTGGCAGAACCTCGAGAAATCCAAATGCAGATGCAAATGCAAATGCAAAATGTCCAACAACCATGTGGCATTCAGGTTCAACAACAACAACAACAGCAACAGCAAAGGTCCCCTGTCGATGTTTTATTGCGAGTTTTCCCGGGAAGACGTCGGGCAGATGTTGAAGCACTTCTGCATCGTTGCAAAGGTAAATTTATTCATAAAAAGTTAAATTTAAAAATGTTTTTCATCCAAATTGAATTTTTGGATATAAAATATCTCTAAAAATTTTTTTCATCCAATTGAATATAATTCACATGAATACACATAGAAAAAAATATTAATTTCCAGCGGAAATATTTGTTAAATGAATAGAGAAATATTCTTTTCTTCATTATAATTATTTGTATGAAAAATTTTAGGGCACGATATCATTTTATTGATGGAAAAAATATTTAATCTAACAAAAATAAATTTTTTCCATTATATAAAAACATCTTATTCGAACTCAATACATTTTTTTAAATTTATTTATTAAAAATAAAAGTTTATTCGCAAAATATTAAATTGATTATCGAGCTCAATTTATAGTCCGTTGAATTTCTGTATTAAAAATTTAAAAATTTCATGAAAATAATTTTTTTGTTTAGGTGATGTTGTATCTGCGATGGAAGTTTTAGTTTGTGAAGACAATCTCCAACCAAAGTCAGCATTTTCTCCCCTTGCTGGAGCCTTGGCGTCTGCAGCGGCGGCATCAGCAGCTTCAGCATCAGCTAACGCTTACGTATCACGAGCCAGTTATTGTGGTCCAAGTCCACCAACTCGTCACAGATTCTTAGCAGCCCCTTACACTGGTACGGGGTACCTGCCCACAGTGATCAGGCCGCCGAATCAAACTCATGCAAATGGAACTGGGGATGTATACCGAGAAACAAGTCCTGATGATGCTAGTGACAAGACCAGTTACTCTGAGTGACCTACCGAAATAATTCATCAGATTACGTGGTCTTACCCCTAGTCTATGGAGTATATGATGTAATAAAAAGTGAACAGTGTTATTAAATCAAATTTAAAACTTTAAATAACCAAGACTAAATGTTATAAATATTTTGAAAAGACTCAATAAGCCTTCTGAGGATCATGTAATGATATACTAGGCATTCAGTAATGCCGAGAGATATACTTTATGTGAGTAGTTAATTCCGTATAAAAAGACTAAGTAGCATTTCATAGATAAAATTATATATATTATATATAAATTAAGTATACTCGAAAGGTGTAATAGAGATGATGAGAAATTATGTAAATAAGTGCAGATTGTAACCTGAAAGAATGATTAAATTTTCGTCTATCAATTAATACTAGAACTATGCAATTGAATAATGAAAATATATAAATATAAAATTATTTGAAAAAATTATTTGTATAGAGCAAGTGCAACATTTAAGATACCAAATCTTTCAGAAACAGGTAAAGAAAAAAAGTTGAAAATTTTCTTCTGGAGCACATATGATTGTGCGAAAGATCTTTATTGTATAGACCGGAAATCCTTAATAAACCAACCATCGATATATTTGATCTATCATTTGAATGACAAGTTCAAGTAACCAATTTCTCCCTTAAATCATCCTCTCCACTGTATCCATCAAATGTTTCATGAAGCGAAAGTAAAAGTCTTGTCGATGAATAATAAGAATGATACAACCAATGTACTAGACTGTCTTCATTCCCATTTGGGTTTGAAGAGTATCTGGTTTCTGGCAACTAAATGAAAAACTTGAAGTAACAAAGATCAAGTTCACGACGTTTCATTCCACGCCCACGGACGTCAAGTGGTGAATCAAAGTAAAAAAAAAAGAGGAGGGAAGTTTCATTGTGGGACAATTAAAGCGAGAGCTTATAGAGAAAATGTTTGAATCGCAGATGGTTTCAAACGTTTCTGGTTGGTCGATATAATTCAGCAGGCTCGTGCAGGACTCAATTGAGAGTTTAAATTCAATTGAATTGAATTACTAGAGGTTTTGTTTGGAGCTAGTAGTATGAACAATGCGGCATCGATACTCGGTATAATCCTATGTCAAGTTTATATCTCTATAGCTTGACAATGGATCTGTTATTAACGACCCAGCATGGATGCTACAGCTCTAAGGCAATATACAGACACCCTATAGAGTTGGTAGCGGGTTTATGCGTTCACGAAGATTCCACATTCCCTTCACCTGATTCTTAGGGGTTACACTCTAGGGGTTATATTGTCTACAATTTGCAGCCTTTCGACATTGCGAATCGGAATTTTAAGCCCTGTTTAATTGATATAAATATTGAAAGATGAATACGACTGTGTTAATCTCTCAATAAAGACCCTCGAATTCCGTGATTTTCAGTTCAATGTCACTGATCATAAATAGAATATCTTTTATATTGAGTAAAAACAAAAAGAATCAAATAAAATCTTACTGTCTCACGAAATGTCAGGTTTTTTCTTCTAAGAAGCAGAAGGTTTTAGAGTATCTATACTGAACCCATCGACACTCGTGGAACCTCTCAAGTAACTTCTGCAAATAGACTGATCCATACAACAGTCGGCAACACTTTTTATCTTTCTAACCGATGAGATGCTCACCTGTGCACGTCAATGAGGTCCTTACGAAATTCATTCTGGATAAACAGGTAGGTACCATAGGTAAATTGGGTTCTCTACTGTGTTTAAGAGAGATAAAAAGACCAAAAGACTCAGCAAATATTTAATGGACATTCGAAACGTTAAAAGCCAAAGAGCCACCCATCATATACCGTTTCAATATTCTCTAACATCGTTCATAACTTTTTCGTTATTATTACAGGTAAAATTAATGTTTCCATTTTTTTTGTGGATGATGATAGATTGATCGTGAGAAATAAATTTTCAGATGAATAAATGATTTTATACCATAATTAAAAATTGAGTAAAAAAAAAATTTAATTTGTTATTAAATTATTTTCTACTTATAGCTACTATACATACTTTTTTAATTTTTGATCAAGAGTTTCAATAAAAATGAAAGTATTGGTTGTTTCAAAAATGGTATAAATCAAGAAAAAAATGATCGGATTATTTTCAATAAATCATTTTCTACAATGGAAATTCAAAGTTAAATATTCATAATTACCCCATTCTCTTCTACACATGATAATAACCATTCTCGTGTTTCAAGTGAAAAGGTATGAGAATACTGAAAATGAGTGAGACAGAGTTGGAATATTATCATGGATTTAATTAATATTTCATTTGTATGCTATTTCTCGCCTCTCCAAGTCACCCCTATTTTGTTCCACTCATATATACAGTACGTAAAGTTTGTGTCAATGTACAAGTTCAACTCACACAAGTTGAGGAAAACGCACCAGTACTTTAACATGGAGTTCATCCTGGTGATGCACACCAATGCTATCACATAACTAATTCTGGCTATGTATTTGTGTGTGTACATTATGTAATCATAGGAGCATTTACTGTGTGCGTGTTTCGTGCCCACGAGACAAGGCAGTGCAGAATAAACCGACCCGTCTCTCTATTTCAATTTAGCAGCTCTATTGTTGGATACTAATATTATTCAGTTGGGAATTGTTTCGCCAATCCCACGAACACTGGAATATCTCAACTATATGCACTGTCGGAGTCGTCTCCAAGTTTATGAAACTCATTTTCCAACACTCTCACGAAAAGCTCAATTTTACTTTCTTTCACAATAAAGAAAAAATTTATTGTGACAATTAAAAAAAATTTTTTTCAACAAAAACTACTTTATTTTTTATTATTTTTTTGTTACTGATCATTAGAAGAATATAACAATTGAACAATATGGAGAATAAAATTATTAATAATTTGCTAGAATTTAAAAAAGAAATATATATTTTATATTCAAATTCAATATTTTAATTTTGAAAAAAATCACTGGCAAAAAATGAATGCAATGTTTAAAGGATTTAATCTGTTTATTCTTTGAAGTCTCGCATTATTTTTGAGATACATAAAGCCCCCAACAAGAGTTTTTATGCTTGTTGTTGATTTGAATAGATTGTATGTATCACAAAAAATATAAAACAATTCATTATGATTATTTCAACAATATATCACACAAAAGATCCTCAATAAAAAAAATTGAATCATTTTTTTTTTTTTTGATCCAAGAAACAAATAAACCAGCTAGATAAAAATAACTGTCCCTTTCAATCGTCCTCATTCCACGAGAAATTCTTAAAATTTTAAATTAACAAAAAAATTAATTAATATTCTATGACTCATTGAATATCCATCTAGAGTTCGAGGCAAAAGTCACACCGAAGGCATCGTAATTTATTGACGACGATTTTGTGGTGACAATGAGAATACCAAACGGCAGTCTGAGCTTCCACCCGCTCAACAAAAGGGATGAGTAAGAATAAGAAGGGTGAAAACCAAGATATTGAATACCGTTTCACATGCTTTTCACGTAGCCATAAGTTAAATACTCGTCTTAAGAAAGAAATAATCAGAAACAAAACTAGACAATATCTTATCAAATACATTCCAATTATCATTTCATATAATGGTCCGATCCCTTTCTTAACTCTTCTCGATCATTTAAAAGATATCTTTTTTTTAATTGAATCTTAAGCTTAGCAACCCTCACACCAACTCCTTCAAATTTTATTGAATAATAATTCAGCGATATTAAAAAGTCTTCAGTGTTTACCGAATGATGTCATGGTACGTAAAAATAAATGTCGATGAAAGTTTCTCAACCCTTAACGTTCTGATGGAAAATATCATTTACTGAATATATGTATATATTACCTGCTATGTATATTTTATATTGCTTATTGTATTCATCTATTTAATATATTTATCACGAACACCAAACATCCAACGCTCTTTTGAAAGCGTTCTGATGGAATTTTCATTTAAAGGAATAACGTTAAAATTTGTTTGATGTTTTCTATATCTCTGTTGTGTACTTTATTGCATTATAACACATTCTATTCAAACTTGTTTAAAATTTTCGTTTATGTGACGTAACAATATTTCATTTATTTATTGGATTCCTCAATGAACAACTAATGTAGTGAATTTTTTTGAAATATTTCAAGCAGAATATTATCAAGGTTGATCTCAAGGTCACGTCAGGAATGTTTGAGATGATGAAGAGCATTTTATCAAATATTTATCACTTTCAAGAATTATATTCTCTCTATTTTATGAAATCTAAATAAAGTAAGAAACTTGAATTTTTTTCAATTCAATAAATTATAAATTATTTTTTTATTTAATAGTGGCTCTATTCTTTAGGCTTTTAATATCATTTTATTGTTAGTTTGACGCTTTTTTTTTTGTTTAAAATAAATTACGAATGATGAATTAAAATTTAATATTTATTTATTCATTCATTGGGTTTGGTGAGAAGTAATGAGCGTTGTAAATAAAGAATAGCATTTATAAAAATTCTTATTACTTTCCTTCCAACCCGATAAAACAATTACATATAATATAATATTATTCATTTATTAATTTATAAAACCTAACGACATAATAAATAACAGTATTACATAAATTTTATGTTAAATGGGACTTTTAGACATAATATACATCACATTACAGACTTAAATCAGAGTGTTGATTATTAACACTTTTTTCAGTACTATTTTTCGAATGAAAATATCTAGAGAGGCTTCAGATTTGCATAATCAATTTTTAAGATTTTCATAATATCGGTAAAATATTATTCTAAAATCGGATGAAAAAAAAATTGACGACTATCCCATGTTAAAAAGTAAATAATGTAATTAAAGCCAATGTTTGACTTCAATAAAAATGGGAACTAACAAGCCGTAATTTGTCCACGCAGCTTAGATTTAACCAGTAAGAGTAAGGGGGATATCAAAGAATAGTTTTAAAAAAGGAGAGGGTGAATTGAAAAAAAAAATATATATGACAGACGAAGCTTCAACGACTTAATTCTAAAGCGATTAGCCGCACGCGCGACAGGGCAAAGGTGTCGACCTGCAATTGAC